CAAAAAAAAGATTCTTGGAAGACTATAACAGCTGGCGGAGAAGGACATAACATATTGGAGTAGAAATGACGCGGAAGGTTGCAATGATTCTGTAAAGTCTGTCTCGAGTAAACGGAATATTTTTGCGTCTCCTGGTTAACGACTCAAAGCAGATCGGATAAAGAAGACAAGTGAGTGCTTCAGAGGACAGTAAGTTGCCGATTACACTGCTGAAACATCTGCAGAGCGTCACAGACAAGAGGCAAAGCTCACAATCATTTGAGTCTTCCATTAGACTTGGACAAATTTGCAAATAAGGGTGGGTTGTTACGACTTGTTCTTCCATATATACGAACATGTTTTCCGGAACAAGACTCCCATTATCATCTGTGTCAGTGTATTGGCTATTTAGCGATTGTGGTGAGCTGCATGAATTATTGTTCGAAAGCATTAATGGCTTGAAGCGGTGTGCAAAGCACTTGCAAGGTTTGTCTGGAAACTCCTTCTGCTTGCTCAAACGTTGACAGAGTAGAAATCATATGCATCGGCTAGCTAACCTAGCCAATTTGTCCAGGTGTCTGCATGTGGTGAGCGAGTCCCAAGCCTCAGGGAAATTGCAACTCTCTGGTGCGCCGCAATTCGTGCTTTCCAACCGTCGTTGTTCCTGCTCGCACAGGTGGTTGGATGACGGCATTCTGGCTGAGGATAAAGCCAAGCTTAGGCCATCGTCAGAAAAATTAAGGTTTTATACAGCAAGCACTTCAGTTAGAAGGTAGAAACATTGAGGAGACTGGAACACAGGTGACAAAATCTGGACACATGGGCGAGAATGAATCAACGGGTGAAGCGATATACGCACAGAAAATGCATCCGGGACAAATTAAGTCATTATATTCACCAGCCTGGTTTCATCGTTAGAAGAATGATTGAAAATAAAGTGTGGGTGAGCTACTTGTTGATCAATCTGCATGCTCCAACTGAATCAGACCACACATATTTGAAGCAATGTGATCCCGTGATTGGTTGTAACAAGGGACTAAGAACAAGATGGTTGCTCGACGGAGTGATTTTGGCACAAAACTCAGCGCAGGCAATACCAATGGAGTTTACATGATCCAAATGTAGTTAGAACTGCGTGATCAAGCGAAAACTCAAGAAAGTCTCCAGCTTATCTCCGGAATTTTCTGAGCTCCCTCAATCCCTGTGTACTCGAATTTCTAGACAAGCAACTCACGATTTTTGGACATTGCAAAATCATTCAGTAATATACCCTTAAATGAATCCATGGTTTTGACAGGAGTAATACACTACTCATAAGGTTGCTGAAAATTCCCCCACAGCACACGACCGGTTTTGCTCCACTTGAGTCTCCATCAGGTAGCGCAGTCCGCGATTTTTCATCAACTGAATGTTCTACTTGAACTCAAATTGCACGAAATTAGCAAAATATCCTCATTTGCGAACTAATTTGGTTATGCGAGAGACTCACCTAAAACCCAGCTGGATATCTTGTGTGTAATACTTCCAGGAGATGAATGTGCTGAAAGAGGCCGCTTCATGGTTCAGTTGGTGCGATATCCGGGGTATCACCATAAATGTATGGGCGTAACACACTACTGCAGTGTTCCAGGTGAGTCGCTTGCAGAACCAAATCTGTTCGCAAATGTGTGTACTTCTCGCTTTTCTACTAGGTATGAGAAATCTGAGTGTTTATAGTTCGTACAACGATTCAAATTATCTCGCCTTTGAGCAGATTTCCCCGCTTTCGGAAAGATTGGGAAAACGATCGTTTTTCCCTGATAATTGCATGATATAAGTGTATTACATGTATGGATTTGTTTGATTAGCAGTGACGGGTTTTGGATCAGTTCTCAGAGATTTCATTCGCTCGTATTTTTGTTTGAAGAGGCACTTTTAGAGTGTCCTCCTTACATAAATGACGATTGCGCCATGAAAATCTTGTGGTACAGGAAGCTGTGGATATCCGTCCAAGACGCGTTCTTCATTCCAAGATCCGGTTCTTGATTTTGGACGTCTTCTGAGTTTTAAAATTTTCCTCCGAGATCAGGTCACCAGGCGTTATCATCAAAATGACCTAATTGTGTTAGGCTGACAGGGGATTTGAACGACGTTCTCCTACCCTGATTCGGGTCACCGATTCATCCAGCTGAAGGATCTCTGTGATTCGGGGATACGGAACCGGTGAGAAACACGCAGAACCGATGTCATTTGTACCACCATTTATATCACCAAGTTCGCATTGTGTTGTGAGTGCCTAGGGATACACCTACACAAGTTTCAAAACATTGCGCCCAAATGAAGTACAGCTGTGAATTTCGAACATATGTTCCTTTTTGTAAATTGTCCCCGAACAAAAGGAGAAATTTTTCGACATCATTTGCCCACGTGTTTTACTTTGTGACGTTGTTGCCGGATAGCCAATCACTGGGAATAGGTGCCCAGTTCTCCAAACGGTTTTCTTCCAAGTGTTTTTTCGACCAACTCATATGGGAAATCTGTTAGAATTG